ACAATTGCTCTACAGATTTTTGTTCTTTTTCTCCTGGACCACGACTTTCTCTCGCTCACAACAGGAGCAAAACCTGGAGACCAGAAAACTTAGTGTACCAAGCACAAGGTTTGCAACTACCTTTCCAACAACAAGGAGAACCAGGCTGAGTTAGCATCCCAATGTCTAACTCTGCAAGGACCTCAAGCGACCGGCTTCTTCGGATCTGTACTTTTGGAACAAGGACACAACAAAGACTGCACCTGGAACCACAGCTCTTTCCAACCTTTCATCTGCCAGCTAACAAAGGCAACCGCCACAAAGCAACTCTTCCTTCCATCCATTCAAGGATTGGCAACATAACAACTGGGCATAGCATCATCACAGCTCTATAGGCTAAGCAAGAGTGTTTAACTTTGTCAATTATGATTTAATCTTATTTAATGTTATTGTCGTGATTGTTTTGCAGTTAGGTTATTGGTTAGTTGGCTTTGCCAAAGCTAAGTGATGTAAGTTGTTAATGCTTTTCACAGACAGAGTCTTGAATGCATTACACTAAACATTCTCTCCCCTGATCTGAAGCCAGCTTTGATTCGGCCATCTTGTAGTTCTCTGTTGTCAGCCATTTTGTTTTGTAGGCCTATAATGGCCCTTTGTTTCACACACCTGCCTTTCTCTCTCTCTCTCTCTCTCATTAATTTCTTTATAATATAATTATTTCCGATAGCCAGTTTGATACTTTCATTGAGGTCAAGCCCATATTTAGGCATTTCCTACAAATGGTGCTGCTGTGTGACGCACAGGACTCTTATCATCACAAGAAATGGTCCCCCTTGGTGAGGCATAGATTCAACCATAATTGCTAGAGCATTCATTCTTTTAGCAGCTGAAAGCTAACATTTCTGTCTGTCACCATGCTGTACACTCGTAATGACATCATTGTTCTATGTTACGTATGGTGTGAAAATGCATGGCGGCACCAGAGGAATTAATCATGAGACTATCAAAAGGTTTTTCCACTTTATTATAATGGTTTATTTACTTAGTTTAACTTTTAGCTCAGGTCGTGCAGATTTAAGGGATATGAAGCATTTGAAGATACTCTACGAAATTACCTCACAATTAAAGCTGCAAGCAGCATTGGGCGGGACCTCGGACTCCCGCCATTTCGGCCTCCAGCTCAGACAGTTAAAGACAGAAGTTTTAGATGATTTTAGACCCCTCTCCACTCTTGCTCACAGCTGACAATTTCTCCACATTTGCTCATGTTAATTTCAGAGGCACTAGCTCACTTCCTGTTGGATTTAGGTCAGGGGTGTCAGCACGTGATTTGTAGGTGTTGATGAGATGAACAAGCCAGTTTTGGTTTGATCTTTCTACGACATTCCTATGGGCCGTAGTGGCCATTTTAGTGTGTCTGGGTGGCGCTAGAGAGCCCATTTTGGCACTTTTGGGGTTCATTTTTTCATTTCATCAAATTTTTCGCCAGTCCTGACATGCGTGCCAATTTTGGTGCGTTTTTGAGCATATTTGGGGGGTCAAATTTGGGGTTTTTTTCCACACCAATGGGGCCCCATGACATGCAGTAGGTGCCCTTTTTTCCTTTTCGCCCCTGCCCTTCAAACATTCAGAGTCTGTCACTGAGAGGGAGAGACAAGCTGGAAGGCAGATTGAGATGGCTTTAAAATGTGTCAAACTCCTTCCTTTAAACCGTGGGTCCAATCGTCAGTCTGATCAGACCAGCAGACAGATACACTCGTCCCGAATGCAGACATATAGTTTTCATGTGTGTGGAGTCAAAAATGTGATCTTGGTCTCAAGTTTACAATGTTTAGCTCACAGCTGACAATTTCTCCACATTTGCTCATGTTACTTTCAGAGGCACTCGCTCACTTCCTGTTGGATTTAGGTGAGGCTTTTGCCTTTAATTGACAGGCGAGAAATGACAGGAGAGAGTGAATTGGTGAAGTGAGATGGAGTGGGGGGATGACATGCAGCAAATGATTGCGAGCCGGAGTCGAAACCTCGACCGCTGCAGTGAGGCATCACCTCTGTACATGGAGCGCCTGCACTATCCACTATGCTACCGTTGCCCCAAATTTTGTTTTTTTGCGCACCAATGGGTCCCCATGTCATGCAGTAGGTGCCCTTTTTTCCTTGTGCCCCTGCCCTTCAAACATCCTGAGTCTGTCACAGAGAGAGAGAGAGAGAGAGAGAGAGAGAGAGAGAGAGAGAGAAGCTGTGTGAGAGCAGGCAGATGGAGATGGCTTTGGCTTTGAAATGTCTTGAGCTCCTCCCTTTTATTCCCAAACTGTGGGTCCAATCGTCAATCTGAGCATACCAGCAGAGAGATACACTCGTCCCGAACGCAGACATATAGGTTTTTATGTTTGTGGAGTCAAAAAAATGCAATCTTGGTTGCAAGTTTCAGATGTCTAGCTCACAGCTGACAATTTATCCACATTTGCTCATGTTAATTTCAGAAGCACTAGCTCACTTCCTGTTGGATTTAGGTCAGGGTTGTCAGTGCATGATTTGTAGGTCTTGAAGAGACGAACAGGCCAGTTTTGGTTTGATCTTTCTACGACATTCCCACGGGCCGCAGCGGCCATTTTAGTGTGTCTAGGTGGCGCGAAGATTGTCAGGAGGTTTTGGGTCATGTCACCTTTAAGAGGGCATAAAATCCAAACCGTTTGAGTAATGCCAAAGTTATTCAGAAGATCTCTTCAGCAGGAGTTGGCCTGTGATGTGTGTGAGTTTGAAGCCGATACAATAAACGGTGGGCCATTTTAGTGTGTCTAGGTGGCGCGAAGACATTCAGGAGGTTTTGTGGCATGTCACTTTTAAGAGGCCATAAAATCCAAACCATTCGAGTAATGACAAACTCATTCATAAGATAAGATAAGATAAGATAAGCTTTATTGTCCCACAAGTGGGAAATTTGTCCTGGGCTTGTTCACCCATGCTGCAGCCACAAAAAGCATTCAATTCCATAAGAACATATAAACAGACATCAACAGACCATCAGAAGCTAGAAAAAGTGCCTCACACATGCGTGATCACAAAAGATCACAAAGGAATAAGATAGAGAAAATGTATGAATATATACAGACAATTTAGAAACAGTAGCCTTTAAAATGCAGAAGTGTGCAAAAGTTGAGAGCATCCCGGCCTTGAATGCCACTAATAAAGAACAAAAACAAAAACAATGGCCTTTACATGCTACTATTTAAGAGCTTGATAGACATCGGGACAAAAGATCTGTTAAGCAGGAGTTGGCCAGTCATGTGTGTGTGTCTGTGAGGAGTCCTCTGCCTACGGGCTTGGTCCCTAATAAACGCGCCAAAAACAATAGGGTCCTCGCCCTTCAGCCGGGGGTAAAGTTTATGGTCCATTTGTCTGAAGCTGACAGCACCAATGACCAATCATCTTTCAATATCTCAACTTGTCTTCTTCGTGGTTGGAAATTGATCTCTTTTCATCTTTTCTCCACCTGCGTCATTTATCCCCACATCCTTTTTCCCCCTCTTCAGATCATTCTCATTTTCCATTCCCACCCCTAGTCATGTACTCTCATCACCCCTACACTTTTGCTTTCTCATGCACCTCTTCTTACTGCCGGTGTTGGCTCTCTGTGCAGTTTCATTCACTGTGCTATGTTCCAAAGACAAGTGGCTGTTTATCAAATACCCTGGCAAAACTAGGGAATTAATCTTAGCCCCTTATACTTCTTGCTGGGAGAGGGAGCAAGACAGAGGAGTAAAAGGAGGAGGGAGGGGGGTTACAGGGGTAAAGAAGAGAAGCATCCTTTAGCTTTTAATTCTGTGAATTGGATTAATGCAGAACTGTGTGGGAGGCAGCAGACATGCATGTGCCTGTGAGCTTGTCTGGGCGTGTGTGTGTGTGTGTGTGTGTGTGTGTGTGTGTGTGTGTGTGTGGACGAACATGGTTGCATCATGTCAGACCAGCCGCTGTTTAACATCAACAACCCATTCTGAGTTTCACCTCTCCCCTTGTGTCCTCTTCCTCTTCCTCCTCCCCCTCCTCCTCTTCATCTCTCATCGAGTATTTGGCCTGTATTCAAACGGCTGCAGGCCCTGATGAAATTAGACTGAGTGCAGTGTAATGAAGAGCATGCCAGGGAGAGCTATGATATTAAATGTCACACAAATACACCTGTGCACGCGCACGCACACACACACACACACACACACACGCACACACACAAACACACACAAAGAGCTCCATAATATCACCGACAGGACTCATGAAAGTTTTGTGAGGATGACAAAAGCTTGTTTGTGCATTTGCTATTTCCCAAATGGAAACATAGTGTTTGTTCTAGAGTGGCTGTGCTTCTAAATACTCGCTCTATTAAATTGATTGACTCAGAGAATCCAGGTGAAAGCTCCGATCCAGTATTGATTTCTCCACTTAAATCCACATCAAATCCAAATCACAAGTTAAATTAAAGTCAAGGTTGATGAAGATGAACAGCTGGAGGCAGGTTCATAACAAATTCTCAAGCACTTAAACAACTGAAACACAATTTGCACCAAAATTTGTTAACTCATTGTTTTGGGTTTTGCAAATACCCCAAAGGAGCTAACAATGATGCAGGTATGGTATCCAGAACATGCTGATATTACAAACCAACAATGGCTGTTAGAGAGAGGGACAGACACAGAATCCCACAGAAGAGAGCCAAGACGGGCAAGCGAGAGAGAAGTAATACAATTCAAAGCAAAATGCTGGCAAAGGGAAGGAAGTGCCCATTGAGGCAGGAATTCAGAAATGGAAGATGAGAGGCAGGCTTAAATGAAAGATAAATGGAGAGGACAGTGAAGCAAGCAGACGGACATGCAGAAGGAAATTTTAGGTAGATGGAGAAGTAGGGAGGGGAAGCAGAGGGGAGACACGTGGCAAAGATGGATAGAGTGCATGACACTCAAAGGCAGAGGTTGGCTAAAAGGTTAGAGGAAAAGAGACGATTGAGAGCATAAAAGAGAGAGGTGGAAGGGATGACAGAGGGGGAAGGAGGGCAAGGAAGACTGGAGGTGAGGCACGGTAGAGAGGTAAAGAATGATGGATGGATAGAAGGTGGTGAAATGGAGAGGTGAGCTTAGTGGTGATGGATGCAGCTGTAGCTTGCAGACCTTTTGTGTGTGTGTGTGTGTGTGTGTGTGTGTGTGTTAGAACGAGAGACAAAACAGAAAGAGAAGTGGCGCAGTGTGAGGTGGTCAGTGGATAGACATCTGGTCTAAGTGCTGGCTTCTGTCTCTATGACAGCAGTCCTCTAGTGTGGAGGTGAAATGCCACTAAGGTCACTGCTGCAGGAACTCAGTGGAGTCTGGTTCCTACATTTACACTCATGCTCACAACATATGCACTCACCTGTCTGTACAGGTGAGTTGAAGAAGCTAGAGAAATTTCTTCTGAGATGTGGGGAGATGCCTGGGAGACCACTAGCTCCTGTAAGACAAGACAGACAGAGACAGAGAGATTGTAACTGGTGAGTGTTGAACCCAAAAGCAGCACAGATGACAGGCAGGACACTTTATCATGAACTTTAATGCACCACTTTGATAAATACAAAGTAAGCAGACAGGTGAACCAACTGGGAGAGTCAATGTCTGGGTTCAAAGCTTTTTGAGAAGCAGGTTCAGTCCAGGGCTCTCGGCATGAAACGCCAAAGCCGAAAACAGGTGAGTAGCCGGCATCTGCTGGATGCACACACTCAGCAAACAGTTCGATTGTGTGCAACAGTACTGTGAGAGAGCAGGCAGAAAGCGATGTCAGACAAGAGTCAGCAGAGAGCCCTAAACCTGGAAAACACACAAGGGAAGTCAGCAGACCTGTGTGAAGCTGACTGTAGACAGCGGCAGGGAAGAGTTGATTCTGCGGCGCGCACACAAAGGCAGAATGTGTTGCGACACGGTGAAGCAATCCACAGAACTCGAAACCAGAGGCAGAAGAACAGGTAAACTCATTACCGAGAGTTAAGTGATGGTCTCCAAACAGCTAAGGGAAACAGGCAAACACTATGAAGGCGAAAGAAGAGAGGACAGAAGGTTAAGGGGTGTCTTGGGGAGCAGACAAAGCAGGAGAGTCAGAGGCAGGCAAGGTTGGCAATGAGGAAGCAGTCCAGGGATGAGCACTAGAAAGTCTTGCATAGGAATAGCGAAGCACAATCTGGCAACAAAAGTCATGTCAAGTCTTTGTAGAGGCAGGGAGTAATGATCCACAAGTGAGCAGCATTAGCTTGATGAGGTGGGTGTGGTGAACTGACAGGAGCGAGGACTGTGTGGAGAGGTGACAGGCTGGCGGGTAGGTGTGGTGGAGAGGCAGTGTGAGTGGAAATTTAGCTGAGAAGATGGCATGTATGGCAGGTCAGAAGTGCACACTGTGACACAGATGCATTGGTGGGCTACCTTTTAGTACCATTTCAAACTATCTAGGCTACTGTAAGACGGTAATCCACTGAGAAAAAATTGGGTGCGGTTTGTTTGTGGTGTGAAAGAAAACGAACCAACCACAGGATTTTATAATAGCAGATATGTGATTTTAGCATGACTTCAGCAGCTACACCAATGAAAAATCTATCTGCTGATCGTGAAATCTGTCTGATATGCTAATGCAGACTTGTAACCATGGTAACACATTATGCATGTCAGCTGGGGTTTTTTCCCTGATTCAAAGCAGTTAAAACTGCCATCATTGTAATTGACTCCATCTACTTTGTCTGTTTATTAAGTCCTTCTAAAAGTGTGTGACAGTGATCCCTCAGTATTAAGCTCTGAATCATAACTGTACGAGATGCCTTCTTTTCATCCTGTCTTTATGTTAGTCATTATTCATAATATGCCATTGATTTGCAGTCTAATATTAGCCTACTAATAATGCTTACAATCAGATATTTCTCTATGAGCTCTTTATGAAACCAAAGAACATGAATACAAACACTTTAAAAGCATTTAAGTGCCACTGCATAATCTTCTGTCAGTCACCAGAATCTAATTTTCCCACGTGCGTCCTGATGATGCAGCATGACAAACACCAAAACTGTCCAATCAAGGAGTTACCTGTCAGTCGGTAGAACTTCATTTTTACTCCTCTTAAAGTCTGTGTAAAGCAGCAAAAAATGTCTGTTATAAGTTTATCACATCACAGAAATATGTGCCATTAATCACTGAGCAAAATTTGAAAGATTAAAAAAATTGCTAAGTATATAAATTTAGCTCTCAAAATCATGGAAAAACAAGCACTTCTCTCTGCTGCGAAACGCTGGGGGCGTGTCCAGAGGGGTATGTCTGCAGCCTCTTGTCTCATGACTCCAGGCTGCAGCCATTCAGTCCACGCCCACTCGCGGGAGGGAAGCTGCCTCCGTGTACTGTACAAGGACGTAACTGACCAAGCCCTACATGTTTGAGCCATCAGAGCCAGAAACTGACTCCGAGTCAGAAGCTGATATTAATGATCAACCTCACAGTCTGCAACAGAATGGTAAATTATTTCTCACATCTATGCAAATTAGCAATATGTATTACTGACTAGTTAGCCTAGCCAAATCAAGGCTATCAATAGGTAATAATACAGAACAAAAGTATGTTGACACTTAACCAGATAGTTTTGTCCACATTAAACAAGTAGCTGTCCTCTGCACTGTACTATAACAATGCTTTTTTATGACTTACATTTTCATTCATTTATATATTTCCTTTGTGAATATCTAATAAAGATTGCACTAGTATTTGTTTCTAAGAGCACAGTGAGTGATAAACCTAAGTAAACTCAGTTTATCCAGCTTTGAAAGGAGGCAGTTTACTCATTCAGATTATCCATATCAATAAATGTGGGGAAACACATTTAATTTAATAACACATTAAATAAACCCGTTCTGTAGAATGATAAATGAAACTTGTACCTGCTATTTATTACCATACAGCTGTACCATGCTTTATAATAATACAGAACTGACAACTGAAATTTTTACTATGTGTCACACTGTGATTAAAAATGTACTTGTTGTGCAGGTGCACATGTGGAGAATGTGAAGCCATGCCCACAGAGGTGGAAGATGTCTCCTGCAAAGAGCTCAATGCAGTATGTAAAGAATAAATTTTCCACAATAATCAAATTATGAATACATAACAGGTAGCATACTGGATGTCAAGTACTAAAACACCTAATTACACATACTCACATAGGTTCAGAATAGATGTGGAGAGCTGCCTGAAGAGCCATGCTGCATGACTCTTCATCCAGGCCTTGAGCCAGTCTGCCTAAACCCCTACTCGCTGCAAAATGCCCTGAACATTTACCAGGCAGACTGTGGGCCACTGGAGGCGAAGGAAAGAGCTGTGTAAGTTAGATAATACAATATTTTATTATTGATTTTGGTTGTTCATAAATTACATTGGGTGTTGATCAAATGACATGCCTGTCAATGACCCGTAAGTTTAGTACCCGAGAATAAACTTGTACTGTTTATGCAAATAAACAAACATTTTATGCAGTCATTTTAGTGATGTCAACTAATGTACAGTGTATTTTATATACACTCAAAGCACACAAGTGCTGCTTGACTGTCACCATTTTAATCCCTCATCCTCCTGAGCTATAACCACTCTTATGTAGGACTGCAAACAATAAAGACGGGCTCATTCTGGAGCTGTTTTTCACATCTCAACATATTAAATCAACCCAACATGTACATTACATTGATATATAAATGTATATATTAAATGCACGATTGGACATTTTTACAAGCAATCAATAGAAGATTATTCCTTCTGAAAATGTAGCTGTGTGGTTGTTTAAATTCCACAGAATTTAAAAAAAAAATCAATTTTCTTGTCCATCCATTCAGCCAATATGATGAGGCAGACTGCAGGTTGATGAATCAGACTCATCTTCTGGAGGTTTCAATCTGTAAGACATGTCCAAAATGGGGAGGGACAGGCTGTTTTTATTTAGTGTATCAATCAAACAAATAAGTTCAACTTGGTTTTACAACACATCAATAATGTTTTATGAAAGACAGCTCCACAGTGTCAAATTTGATCACAAATAGGACAACCTACCAAAAACAAACCTAGATAAATATGAGAGTATCAAAGGATTTTCTTTTTATTACAGGCGTGCTCGCTATCTGGCCTACAGGAGTTTTGTGTCATGGTGTTGGGGATACCTGGGAAAGGCCAACCGGGTTGTCATCCCTTCCTGTGTTGTCCACCGCATTCAGCAGGAGTACCCAGATGAAAATGGAGTACACAGGTTTTAATTGTTTATGTGTATTGTTATTTCTTTAAAAAATGTATAAATAAATGTTATAATGCACTTTAAATAAACTCATTCTTGAGTAATGACATTTCTGTGTGTCACAACTTACTTTTAAAATGTAGGCTGGTGGGGCTCTGGTCCTGTGATGGGCTGAGGCAGGCGTGGGCTTGGGCAGTTTAAAGGCATAAAGGTATTCTAGGTATTTAGAAATTCTGATAGTATGGTTTTCAATTTGGTCATATAGCACTGCCCCCTATAGTCAAAGATTCAAAACATCAGTCGCAGACCCTTTCATTCAGATGAGATTCTTCCAGTCGAGCATTTCTTTTTTTTCAGTCAGTATTCAGTGATTACTGACACTTATTTCTGTGATGTGACAAACTTATAACAGACATTTTCTGCTGCTGTACACAGATTTTAAGCTACAAAAATGGGGGGGGGGGGCAAGTCTTATTCCCCATCAACAATTTGTAAAATAAATTTCAGAGGAGGCCCGTCACATTACCCCTCAAGGCCACTGCAGGCTCTCAAGACTGAAGCAGAGCTCCTGAGAGTGTGGATGTTTCCTGTGTCAGAGTCTGGCATGAATCAATACATGCAGTATTTTTCCAGATGAGGCTTAATTAAGAATAAATTGTGCTAAATTATAACTGCTTTCTGTGTGTTTTATTCATGTTAGAGTGGTCAATTAGAATTTATCTTAGAATGTCCATTTAATTAACAGGGAAATTAGTCGCCAGAAACTTGTAATAAATACCATACACTGTGGTAAAATATCAGGAAGCTATGAAGGTTTTGGTGGGGTTAGATGGTTGTTCACTCATCATGTCTTGGGGCTGGACAGCTGAACCTGGACACATGGCTGTCAACTGCATCGGCCTTCTCAGGTCGCTCATACTGTGAGCACAGGGGTGCAGGGTCATGGACGATCTCGTTGAAGAGGAGGTCCGTAAGCTCACTGACATATTCTAAAACAAAAGGAGAGAGCACAAAACATAGCACATTGTTAGAGTAATTAATACCGTCTAAACTTTTAGCACAATGGCAAAAATATAGAACTTTTGTGTTTACAATATTATAGATAATTATAGATAATTTATTATAGAGATGACAAATTGTATTAATATCAACTTATTAACCTGTAGTATAGCTGGTCTCCACCATGGACACAACATGTTCCCCTCTCTTGGCCTTGGGAAATTTAATTTGGAACTGCAGTTCTCCTGAAGCTGTCCTTGCTTGGCCACGTGCAGCATTTTCATTGAAGTGCAATGCAGCCAGGTAAATCCTGATAGCAAAAGGATTTGTACTGGGTTACTCCAAAAAAGTTATTTGCTACATTTCAAGTGCCATGGTCACTATTGCAGACATAAAATGCTTGTACAGTACAATGCACAATTCAAATTGTAGCATTCTGGAGCCGTTTACTACACTATATTGACATGATTACAATACATACCTGCAGAGCATTCCCAAGTATGAGAATGCCACATTTTTGGGTGCAAACCACAGAATCACTGAGAACACGCTTGTTCATGAGCACCTTCTCTAGCCTGTAGGTCGCCTTTGTTGCTGGTGGAGGAAAAAATAGCAAATATGTAGATTAATGTATAGCAGCTGAGAACATAATAGATAATTATAAGTAAAATACATAAAAGATGCAAGAGAATTTATACAGTGGGTGTTAAGTTGCACGGGATTAACTGTCATACAAATAATAAATAAACTACATTTCCCATATTATCTCACCTTTACATAAATGCCACATATCATAAAAGTGGTCAATGTTTGGTTTCTGTTCCCGAATAAACTTTTGGACCTGCGTGTGTCGGTCTGTCACCAGGGAAGCCACTTTGACACCAGATCTCTCAAGAAAATCCAGACTCCGGATCAGCCCTTCCTTTTCCATGCAGACACTGCTTCCCACCTCATTGCTCTGTGGATCATAAACAGACATAACAAATTTTCTTCATTTTAAAATAACAACAAATGTTCAAGCAAATTATCTACTTAGTCTTTAACAATCTATTTACCTGTACAAGTTGGATTTCAACTACTTTGTTTGTTTTGAGATCCATCATGGAATATGAGCCATACTTTGCACAATGGCCGGGACTGTCACCAGCAAGAATACAGTTTCCCCCTGTTTCAGTCCCTCAAGCTGGTCAGTCTGGTGTGATCGCCATTTATGCAGCACGGAAGGCAGAATGTAGTTATGCACATGATTACGGTGCGCCATTCTTGAGAAGGTTCTCACGTGCATTGCATTCAGCACCTGTAATGTAAAATCAGAACCAGAGTAATCAGTCGCACTCAAACAATGTTCACAGCTTGCACTACATCTCAGTAGCACTGTGGGATACACTGTTATTTAACCAACATTATTGTAAATAACCTTGTTAGTCTGGAGGAAAGAAGATCCTGTGTAGTAGACAGCGGCTGACAGGTGCAGGTTCCCTGCAGGAGAGCTGCCCAGAAGTGGTTGACTTTTCCACTGTCTGGTGTAGAAGCAACTCTGGTTGAGGCACTTCTGGGTCACAGAAAGGAATGTTCCTTTTACAAATGTCTCTACCTTGCAGACGCTTGAGCAGGTTGGTTGGTGCTCTGTTCACAAAGAAAACCACAGGCAACAGTTGATAAAAATATATATTATTACATATCAGCATATAAATGTTGATGTGAGAATGTTGACAAATTCATTGCTACTATTGTGTAAGATTAGTAATGATCTATAACAAGCAAAGTTAA